TATCTCGATTCGTTTTGCCTGTTACAAACAACCGTTATGTGAACAAAGTTATAATACCCTTGTGCACAAGTGCGCTCGGGTATAAAAAAAAAAAAAATATTCCGACGAACTGATAACCTCCTCCTTTTTTGGAAGTCGGTTAATAAAAGGGAAATGTTTCAACAAGCCTGATTAGAAATGTAGATCTAAGGTGACGAATTTATAACAGGTTGGGAACTATAAAAAATGGATAAAGATCGAACTAGATCTCATCTGTCGAATTATGAACTGGTTTGGAACTATAGAAAAAGGGATGCAAAACGAACTAGACCTTATCTGTCGAATTTAGAACTAGTTCGGTACTATCGCCAAAGGGATGCAACGGGGGACAATTGACACTCCTTAGGACATCGCAATGTTAAATTCGCCAGTCGCTAGCATATAAAAGAGAATTAACGCGTACTAGTCCTGGCTCCAAATGCACTAGAACCGAACCATTCCGCACTCCGACAGGGTTACAGTATAATATTGTTTACGGTGTTGGTTAACCATTCATACCAATATTTAATGCTAAACAAAACAAATTCGGGCTTTTAAATAAAAGAATAAACGTATTGTGTAAAAAACTTTTGTAATAAATGTATGTAAAAATACCTTTGAGATTAATTGAGTAGTCCACTTGCAAAGTGCGCTATGTAAAATTGTTTAGATTTTTAGTTTTTGGTGGATTGCGTACCAGTATTTAAAGTACTTTCATGTCCACTAACAACACAGTGCAAAATCTTTTTATACTATGAAAAAATAGCATAAAATCTTAACTCTTCTTCCAAAAGTCGCTATCATACTTATTTATATACTTTCAAAGGTATCCATCTTCTGATGAACCTAGAAAACTGCTTTAGGTCGTGTAGACTGTTAATGTTATCTTATGTCATGGTATGTTATGTTATAATTTTATAAGGCTCTTATTTATGCAAAATTTTTAGGTGATAATAAAACAGATTCACTTTAAATGTTATTTGTTTTCGTAGGCGTTTTTTTTTTCAAATTTATGGCTTTCTATTATAAAATCACATAACGCTGTTTGCAAGTGGACTACTCAATTCAATTCATATCAAAAAAATTTTATGTTTGAAAAAACAAAATCTGAGATTTTATGCATTTCAATAAAAAAATTCCAAATTTTTTTTCAATTTGCATACACTCCAACTTTGCAAATTGCCTATCACCAAATTTCTTGCAAGACGATAGGCAAATTTTTGTTCAATTTCAACAGCTGATCGATCATAGCTTTGGGAAGTCAGTTTTTGTTCGCAGAAAATTGTGTGCTTAGTAAAATTTGGAAAAAAAAAAGAAAACTTATACGTGTGAGCAAGTGAAAGCAATGTTTTCAACGTGTAAACGCAAAGTAAGTGAACAAATTTTAAAACTCATTTTGATTGACTTTTCAAAACATTTTTGCCTACCAAAAGCTTCATCAAACCAAACTATCAAAGGAAAATGAAGCTACCAATTTTGGTCCAATTGGACCAAAACGGCAACGCTGGTACACACCTAATGTTTACTAATTCCTGTTCGCGCAAAACTCAAAGTAATCAAGACAGTAGCCCTGTTCGCGTACGCACTATCCAGTAAATCCAGTACTAATTTTACTGGTTTTTTACTGGATGTCGTTTTCGTACGCAAAAACTTGCAAGAAACTAGCAAAAGAGGGGAAATTGAGAGAGCAAAAATGACAGCTGCACTTGCAAGTTTTACTGAATTTTTACTGGATAAATTTTTACTAGCAACTATTTGCTAGTAAGAAAAACAGTTGATGGCATGATGCTTGATGTAATTCACATTAAAAAAATAATTTTTTGTGGTGCTTTTAGAGTTGCAATTTACAAATTAAACCTATTTAAATATATAATAAGATGGAAAATACAAGTTTTCCAAGAAAATTGTATCGGAAAATAAAAAATGAATCAGTTGTTCATAAAACTAGCAACTTCTTGCTGGTTTTGCGTTTTCGTACTTTCTTGCATATTTCACTCATTGGGAGTAAATATTGGCTTACTCTCTGAAATTTGGTTACTGGCAAGTTACTGGATATTTTTTGCTGGAGAATACCAAAACACAGCTAGTGATTGAGACAATTGAAGAAGTATGCATGTATTAGTGAAAAAGTGTGCATGTGTTGCTATTGTCATGACAGTATTGTCCGGTGTAAACCCTAAAGCTGAAATTAGTCGAGAACGCAGAACGTATACTTAAACGCAGTCTGTATACGCAGAATTTTGTCGATTACTGGAGCCCTCAGTGTTGCTTACTACACTGTTGCCACTCTTCACTGCCTTTTCATAAACTTACCCTTTCAACCACAATTTTTCGTGCTATAATAGATTGTAACTAAATATAAACTACTTAGTTTTCAACAAAAACCTTATTTAATAGTAAATTTCAAATATTTTAAACATATTTCGAATAGGAACTTATAACTTTTTTACCATTTGCAAAACTGACGAAGTGGCAACCATCTAAAGAAGGAGAAATCAGCTGACACGGAAAAATCTAAATTCCGCAGATTTCTGCGCTACGGGCTACAACTACAGAAAAATTCTGCGGTGTTGAGTTTTCATTTACATGGCGCTTTGGTAAGACAGATCGTGTCAGCTGACTCGGGTTTACGTACCGGTAGGTTTACGTTCTTGACTAATTTCAGCTTAAGGTCGAGGCCACGCAATGAGCGGCAAAGCGGCGAGCGGCTGAGCGGCGCCATACAAAAATGCCGCTCAGTGCATGGCCACTTCAATAGCATTTCATATGTTTAATTTTAAGCCGCTCAGCCGCTCATTACGTGGCCTCGGCCTAAGTTATCCTAGGATATGAGTAAAAATGATCTAATATGGTTTCCTTACTTTTTTCGAACTCCGTGCACTTGTTATAATGCACAGCGCGAATCGTAACGAATCGCGGCTAATTCGTAGGGATCCATTGATTGCATTATAAGCATTTGCATTTACATATTAAACATACAATAGATAATTATGTGACAGTTCACTCCGTTCAGTTACTTCCATTATAACCCGGTCCTAAGGATGCTAGCGGCCCGAAATCATATAAGGTGGTGTTACCGGATTTTCAATTGAAGTTGAAAATTAATAAATTAATTATAAATCAGCAAAACGAATAAAATGAAATGAAATTAATAGTGGAATTCGCGCTTCTGTGTATTCGTTGTATTTTGTGTAAGTGGACGAGCGTATGATTGTTGGTGCATGTATATTTATTGTACCGATAGCAAAAACAAATCACACAGCTCATTCAGTTACAATTATATAAGATACAACGAACACACAGAAGAGCGAATTCCACTAATGTTTAATTTCTAACCAAACCTACCTACATATGTACCACGATTCAATAATGAAAGGTTTTGTAAGAAAAACTTTGTCTCACTATAATTTTATCAATGACACTCCCACCATACTCCTTTAAACAAAAACGGTGATATTTCTTTTCCAAATTTCTTTGTAAGTTTTAGGAACATTTTTAAATTTTTAGTAGAGAAATTTATATCTTTTAAGGCCAGTATGCAGCTCTCAAGAAAAGCAAAAGGCCTGTACAAAATGACGTACAAAAAATGGCTAAATATTTACTTGTGTTAAATTTTCTTGAGGCAGTACGCAGTTCTTAAGAAATTTGCTACGATTTGCTAAAGTTTTTTTTGTGAAAAAAGAGCACAGTTTTTTTGTGAAGAAATGTTTGTTGTGCATTCGCTGGCGACAACAAGACAAAATGGGTGAGAATTGTTGGCCTACAGAAATTCAATGTGGGCTAAGGAGACGAAATTCCATTTAATGCCGAACTGTTGTATTTGTTGACATTCGTGGATACCTATTGATTCTGTCAAGTCGCTGTAAAGTAAAGCGCGCAATGGTTCTGGTAAATGAGTCAATCCTGATGTCCCCGAATGAGACTTTGACGCAATATAATGGTGGCGAAACGCATGCATGGGATCAATCGTAACACACGACAGCTCGGATTAGTCAATGGTGCGTTGTAATTTCGCACTTACGCACTTCTCATTTGACGATATAGATCACGTTCCCTGTCTCAGTAGTTTAGTAGCTGCGTGTCCTCTTTATTCTTCCTGAGTTCGACCAGCACGAATCGCCAATCGCGACTGTATAAGCCAATATTTTATATTCTTACGGCGGTATAATCTCCCCAGAACACTAAAAGTGCAACGTCAAAGAATTCTAATTACCATATTCGAAGCAATCGAGCCAAAACCTCGAAAGAAACTTAAGCTCCAAATGTTTTTATTTGTCGGTTTTTTCCACAAACAAAAAGCTTCTTATATTCATCAACTGTAAATGGTACCGCAAAGAATTTACAAGGCAAACAAACACACAAACAAAATTGTTCAAAGTGGACCATGTTGTTTATATTAAATAATTTAATGAAATTCGTTTTTGTTTTTAAATACCCACCTTTTTGTGGAATTTAGCTACCATTTTAGAATGTGTGATTGAATTCTTCCCCTTTTTCTCCTGCTTCCAAAAACCATCCCTGTGGGTGGGAGTGTCAAATTTTAGAAAAAAGCTACCTACAAAACCTTTCATTATTGAATCATGCATATGTACTATGTAACTGAATCGCCGAATACTTTTTCGTGAGTACCTGGTACTCACACGTTTTTAAAGAAGTTTAATTTCTATCACGTGTATGGTGTTGCACGCGCCGTTTTTAGTTTAAAACATGGTGAAATTATATCGGTTGAAGTAATAAGAGCGAGAAGAAAGATTTGACACTATCTTGTTTAAAAATTTGCTTAAGAAATCATTATAAGATTGCTGTATATTAAGAAAATAAAGCGAGAACGGTGTTTTATTATTTTACCTGTTTATAATTTCACCATTAATTTAAAATAAAATATGTTTGTATAAATAAAGTCAATAAGAACTATTTCTAACATGAAAAATTACTTGTACTCATATTAAGAATAATGTGGTCGTTATTTACATTTCTCGTAGATTTCTACAACGAACACTTCCATACAGAAGTACTTTGACAACAAAAATTTCATTTTACAATGATCCTGATATGCTTTCAAAAATTACCGAAGTGGATATTGATAATTTCAACTTTTCTGAGAGAATTTTCTCCTCGGACAACTACATGTATGTGCGTATAGATCTTAATCGCCGCATGTCTTCAATACGGACACTACAAGCACGATACAGCTCCAGCGATGAATCTCCCTGTCCACCCGATATCAACGAACAGGCGTCTGGATCTGTCGACACAAACCGATTGTCTACAAACGTCAACTTCTTTTGCACAACTAGATTCATATTGAGTGGATTTGAAACAATAACCTTTGAGATCAAAGAGCTTGTGGTTTACCGAAATAATACATTTAATAACCCATATGCCATTCGTTTCAGTGATGAAAGTTTACTAATGCCGTATAAGACGGTATTTATGAATGCAATTGGTACAACGGTATCCTTATCTTCCAAGGGTGGCATGCTTACAATGCTACAAAATGATAATGTTAAAATTAAACGCTTTTCGGCAGAGTTCCATCGCCATTCGTGCGGAGGAAGTTTTTACTTAATAGAAGCTTTCGAAATAGTATTTCCTCCCAAAAATTTTGTTCATGGCGGGGATGAAAGTCATATCGAATGTGCTTGGACGATTAGAGGAGCTTCCGAAAGTCAACCTTATAAGCTCTTTGGTAATATTAGCCTGAATGAGGACTGTAGCAAGGAATTTATCGCCATTCATTCTGGTATGACTCCGGAACTTCCACTTATCTCAAAAATTTGCAACAATTCAACTGAGCTTAATTCGGGAATCGATATAAAAAAGCATTTAACTACAATTTTATATCACTCCAGCGAAATAAGGCCAAGCTCGTCATTCAAAATAACGGCAGAAGCTTCCATTGCTTGTGGAACTAAAAAGACGGTTTTTATTAACTCTCCAGCGGTAATAATGGATTCTAAGATATACAAAAGTAATATGGAATGCAGTTGGGAATTTGAAGCAAGCTCAGGATTTTATATGTCTGTGGAGTTCCTGGGAAGATTCTTTATAGAGAAATCCGCAAATTGTTCAAAGGACTATCTTGAAATATATTCTTATGAAGGTGCAGTTTGGCAACCAAAGGAACGCTTTTGTGGTCGAGATGTTCCTAGTACGTACAACGCCACATCACAGCGTATATTAATTGTGTTCCGCACAGACAACGAGACGACGGGAGATGGATTCACGTTCCGAGTATCATCGTCCTGTACCGCCACTTTCAATGTTACCAACCACCTGCAATTAATACGATCTCCTGACATAGACATCACACAATACTCTAGGTTTGGCTGCATATATACCTTTGTATCGAACTCAGATAGTGCGATAAGTTTACAAGTGAGGAATAGTGTATATAGAGATAGTTTTAGGCCTATCTACAGGAATAGATTGTGTATGTTGAGTTTCACAGCATACAAGAAGGGAGAAGACGGAAACGAAATCAGAGCTGGCGAATACTGCGAAGGAGCAGAATTAATTGAGAATAGGTATTTGCGTTTAGTATTTAACAGAGCTTACGAAGGTTTCCAAATCGCGTACCAATTGAATTCATGTGGCGGAAACATCACCCAATCCACAACTATTCGTTCTTTATCGGCTACAAACGGCAATAGTGGCAATGATTTTGTATATGCTGACAACATGAACTGCGTGTGGAATATCGTGGCACCACCGGACCATTCTATATTAGTGCGATTTATATATTTCGACATGGAAAAACATGATAAGTGCTTTTATGATTTCGTAGCCATTTACTCAGGATCTTCACCAAGGAACGAAAACGAACTCGTTAAGCTTTGTGGTAATTTAAGTGCAGATCCGCCGCTGGTTTTAGTCGATGATAACCATGCCTTTATTACGGCTGTGTCCGATACTAGTTACGCGAAAAAGGGCTTCCAAGCTGACGTCGTCTTCGTGCGCAACTGTAATGAACGCATTGGATTGACCAACGAAGACTCAATTGCACAAACACTTGTAATGGTTAGAAATTACACAGTGAACCCAGCTGAAGAACTTCATTGTCAAATTCATGTAACAGCTCCGGAGAGTTTTAGGGTCACAGTTCAAATAAGAAAGCTGAATATTAATCCAACCCAATGTCTGGATGAATCATGTGTGCAATGTAATTACTTGGAGGTTATGGAACCTGCGGAAAAAGGTGATACGTCCTTGTCCGTGGGGAAATTTTGCAAAGATAACGATGGGAATAGAAAGTTGATAACTTCCAATGAGCATGCGTTATTACAACTAAGTTTTCTAAAGCAGGGGAACTACACACTTGAAATCGTTCTCGAAATCAAAAAATCTGTTTGTGGTGGACGAAATGAGCTAGAACTTCTTCCAGAAAAGGTTAGATTCAGTGCGACTTCTTTTCAAAGTTAATACATTTAGGAGTATTTTTATTGCAAGCGTAATATTTTTCACATATGTATATATGTAGGTTCTAACAATAAACTTTCCACCTGATGGGCCAGAATATCCACCGAATGTTCATTGCAAATGGCGAATCAAATCAGAAACCAATTTTCAAATCCACTTTGAAAACATGCTCCTGCAAAATCCATCGGTCGAGACTGGTAAATGCCTTGATTTTCTACGGATAAATCAGGATACGGTAAGAAATTCGTATTCCAACATATGTATGTACATTAGGGGGGTTCAAAAACAGCAAAGTCGGAAGCAATGCTCTCACCCCCTAGGATTGTTCTATATCGAAAAAAGGATACCCTTGTTTTTTTATTTTGAAATCAAAAAATATTTAGAGGTCGCTCAAAGCGCTCAAAGTTTTCCATGTATTTTTACATGGGATAAATAAATTTTTTCGTAGAAATGCTATAGAATTCTTGAAAGTCAATATTTTTCGATCGGAAAATTCTGGTTGTCTTCAGGAGACTTTCAATAATAATACGCAATTGTTTATTTAACCATTTTTTAATACTAACGATTTTTTTATTGGTCGCCCCATTGCATTTTTTGAAGTTTTTGAGGGTTTTTGGCGGCCCTATAAATTATAGTTGCAATGAAAAAATGGTTAAATAAAAAAGTGGGTATTATTATTGGGAGTCTCCTGCACATAAACAGAGTAGAAAATATTGATTTTTAACTATTCTATACCATTTCTACGAAATGTTGTTTTTTTTCCACATAAAATACATGGAAGACTTTGGGCGCTTTGAGCGACCTCTAAATATTTTTTGATTGCAAAATAAAAAATAAGGGTATATTTTTTTCGGTATAGAACAGGCATGGGCAGAGACTTAGTAGGTGCTAAAAGAGCGTAAGCATTGAGTGTACGTATACAAGCGAGAGCGTAACGATGAGAACGCGAAAGCTCGAAAATGAATTGGACACACTAACACATTCTCACTTTTTGCTCAGGCTTGTTTGTGGTCGTGCCCACCTCTAGTATAGAACAATCCTAGGGGGTGAGAGCATAAAAATTCCGACTTTACTTTTTCACATGAATTTTTGGGCCGCCCTAATGTACATACATACACTTATACTTCCGTGTTAATTGATGTATTTGCTCACAGGTGACTGAAAGCTATTGCGGAAACGTCACAGGATTTACCAAGTCCTTGAGTATATTTCAAAGTCATCAGAATGCTTATACAGATTTAACTTTTCACAGCGATGATTCCGTCCAGGCAAAAGGTTTTAACATAACCCTTTCGAGTCAACAACGTATGAAGTTTTTCAAATGTTTTAAAATTAAATAAACAAAGTAAAAATGTTTCAGCTTGTAATCGCACTTATACGAAGCTTAGTGAGTTTATAGAATTTAAACCGACTAGAAATTCGAGTCCAACGTGCTATGAAGTTATACAAATACCTGATGAATACTCAATCAACTTACATATTCTCTTGACCACATCAAACTATATGCGGTGGAATTGCTCGCACCCAAATCTCCAGGTATAGATTTTTTCGAATGCGTTATCTTTTCCGTACATTTGTATTAATAAGCTATTGACTTTGCTAGATAAACGATACTGTAACTAACACAAATCTGAGGACGCAATGCATTTCATATTTCCACGAAGATCGTCTTCACACAAACACAAGCGAAGTTAGATTATACGTCAGTCTTTTGGAAAGTTTCCAAATGTTTTACTTTGCCAGTCGAAAGACTTTAGAACCGGGTTGCGGTGGTGAGATATTTACAGTTGAGGGTTCTATTTCGAGCCCCTCTTATGAACATCGGAATTTCTCTGAGTGTCGTTGGAATATTGCAGTGCCAGAACCGAATCGCATCGAAATTGTTTTTACAAGTATGTACTATTTTATTTTTGTAAATATCTTCATATGCACATATCAAAATGCAAATCTGCCGATGTGCGTATTTGGATATGTATGTACATTAGGGTGCCCATAGAAATTTTTTTTGAAGAGTTGCCTAACTTCGACAATTTTTATGCGATTGCGATAAATGAGTTATCAATTTATTTGAAAATAAATTTAATTTTAGATATTTCTACATATTTTGACATTGTGGAAATTAGTAATTGTCAAAACTTAAAAAATGAAATTCAACAATTTTTATGAGCTTAAGGCCGTTTTTAGTGAAAATTTATTGTGGAAAAGCAACAATAATTTGAAAAAATGGTAGAAGTGATAGCTATTTTGGAAATCGCCACATTTCCTCATCAGACTTCTTTCAGTAGGATTCGAACCGACGATCACCACTGACTCAGCCAGTTGCCTACGCACTGTGCTAAAAGCGCAGTTAGTCAACGACGTAGCGTAAACGTAGGTTGACGTACGTAGCAGCATATCAAATTTCCTGTTGACAGAGAGAGAGAGAAGTAACGGCAACGTCACCGCCATGCGGTGGTGAGTTTTCGTTAACACGCGAATCCCATAAGGTAGATCGTGTCTGCGTCAACCTACGTTTACGTTACGTCGTTGACTGTTTGAGCTTTAAGTTTGCCTTGTTAATTCTTCGTGCTTATTTCCACTATTTAACTTTGCTAAGCCAACTACAATCAAGCGCAGCTATTCCGCTGCAATTCACTTG